CACACACGCGCACACACACACGCGCACACACGTACACGCACGCACACACACACACACACACACACACACACACACACACATTCATATCCTCGTGGGGACATCTCTTTGCTTACCCTAAACATAACCGTGACCTAACTGTAACCTAACCTGACACCAAAACCACATTTTGAGTCTCAAAAATACTTTCAATCTGGTGGGGATGTGGATTTGGGTCCCAAAAAGGACTGTTGGTCCCCACAGGTATAATAAACGTCCAATTGTTGGTCCCCACAAAGATATCAATACCTGTACACGCTCACGTCTTTCTGTGTGTGTCGGGACCAGTGTGTCGCTGACGTAACATATTATGTAACCGTGCCTGATTTCTACCAGCACGTGTGAACCTTCACTAAACGTCCTCACAGTGCAGACGCGTCCCCGTAAAACAGACGTCCTCACTGCAGCGGTCTCTAACATGTAAACCCCACAAACGCAGAAAGACGTGACTCCCTCTCTCACTCACACACTTGATGTAGGTTAAAAAAAAAAAGGGTTGGATGATCTCAGAGCCTGTTTCCACGGCAACCGAGATCCAGCATCAGCGCCATCGTGCTCCATCGCAGACGGTTGTTTAACATCCATCGTACACGAGTGGCTCACAAAGGAAGTTAAAGAACGCAGATGGCAGCCTGGCTCGAGATTTTACGTTAAATCTTTTTAACTCTGAGGTTTTTAGTTTGTGCCGGACGTTCTGAACTTCTCTGCCTCGGATGATCTCGCAGGCACAGGTGAGTCGGGTGGGTTACCTGCGGATCCGGGCCATGGTGGTCTCCGCCACCAGCACCGACTCCTCGTCCGGCAGCAGTTGGATGCCATTTGGGAATCGCATGTCCTCCATCACCACCGTCAGCTCCTTGGTCTCGGTGTTGTACTCGAGGACGCTGAGGATGAAACCGCTCGCGTTAGAGAACCGCTGCCAGTCTTTTAATGTGACATGTCACAAACAGGAAGTAGTAATCACACTAAAGTGAACTGATACACAGATGTTTCGACGTATGGATGATTAATAAACGCCATTCTAATAAGATGTTTGACTGTCAGCGCTCTCAGACACTCGTTGGACGCAGGTACCGGCCGTCGGGCGTGGCCTCCATGATGAGGTGCATGTAGTCTCTCCGCTGCCACCTGCTGCTGGAGTCGGTGAAGTACACCTTCTTTCCATCTTGCGTCACCGCCACGTCGTTAATAAATGACAGCTTCCTCCCTGCGACGACCTGGCCACCGTTCACCAACCTGGTCGCCTCACCTGCAAAGAAAAACACGCAGTCCGCTCCACCTGATCACATGACTCAGCACGAATACAGTCCAGCTGTTAGCTTTGATCCAGATGTGCTACAGTAAAACCCAGAATTAGACTTTTGAGCGCCAGAACCGAAGCGTGGGAAGTGGGATCACTCACCAGTGGTGGGGTTGACCTCGAACAGACCCAGGTAGGCATCGGCTACAAACAGCGTCCCGTTGGGTCCGACTCTGATCCCCAGCGGCCTCCCGCAGTTGGGCTCGTCCTCTCTGGAACCTGCTGGACATCGACCAATCAGAAAGGGTGCAAGGTGTGCTTGGACACAGACGTGTGAGGAAGGTTAAAAAGAAATCTTTTCAGGTTGTTCGATTCTTTTATTTTGGCACAAACAGGCTCCAAACGTCAACGAGCACAAAGCTCAGAGCTTCTGCTTCCTGCTGGAGGAAGCACCACAGCGAGCTCACGTTACCTTCGCTGACCTGAACTTCCTGTTCAGGTTCTTCCTGACACACCTGGCTGAAAGTTTAAACTTAAACCAGAGACTTCAGCTTAATCAGCTGGTTTGAGTTGGAGTCAGCAGACGGCGTGCTGTTACCTGCGTGTCAGGTGTGCTGTGACGCTGTGCAGGTTTGAGCGTGTCGCCGGGTTCATCCGAGGTCTCTCACGTGTTTGTGTTGAAAGGGGCAGATCAGGGCTGAAGGTCGAACTGTCAGTTATTTATTGGGAAACTCCAAAATGAAGCAAGCGTGTGGCTGCAGGCAGGCTGACAGTAACGCCTTGCTCAACACAGGCTGACGGTTTGATCCCGTCAGCCTCGCTCATTGTCAGCATGTGACAGAGCTCAGGCTGGCTCACCTGCAGCTCCGTCACATGATGTAAGGTTTAAAGCCCTGAGCAGAGGGAGGCGGGTACACCTGGACGCAGGTGAGCACCGCGTCGCAATCATTTAGGTTTCGCCTAGCCGGCTAACACATGAAACCTGGACATGCTGAAGTGTTTCTAACCTGAAGTCCAGGCCACGCCCACAAACTCTGACAGCGCACAGGAAGAGGAGGCAGCACGTAAAGACCGGAAGCACAAACGAGCACGACTCACCACACGGCAGCTTCCCGAGTCTCGTCACCATGTGGATCCTCCGACCGACCAGCTTCACGATTTTCCCGTCAGCTGTTCCCGAGAACAGAACATCTGCAGACACAGAGGGACAATCTGTCAGCTCTCGGCGCTCCTCGCCGTGGTCGCCGCCGACGTCTGACACCAACCTCCGATGTTGGCGATGGACTCGGGGCCGACGAGCTGGTCCTCAAACAGTCTCTGAGCTTCTCTGAGCTTCAGGTTGGGCTCCCAGCAGGCCTTCATCATGGGCGGTTCTTTCAGCCTGTAGCACCACGACCGACCAGCAGGGGCAGCAGCAAAAACTCGTTAACTTTTATTTCAAAAAGGATTTAACATGAATATTGTGACTTTCTCTGAACAGACAGTTTCAGATTACAGAGTTACTTTCTGTTTTTATTCATCGAGTTATTCCAGGATTGAAACACTGGGATCTTTCACACGTTTTTATGGATTTTATTTTGAAAACATCTAAACTCATTTCTGAACCAAACGAATTATTCATTAAGCGGCTGACTTGCGTCACTCACGTGAAGACTTCAGGCTTGATGGGAGACTCGAGGATGAGGATGATGACCAGGAGAGGAAGAAGCAGGAGGACGCCCAGAGAAAGCAGCGTGACCCGGAAGATCTTCCCGCTGTAGGTGCTGAGAGCAGAAACAGAGACGTGACTGCAGCGGGGCTCCTCAGGGACCCACCCCGGAACCGGACCCACCTGACCCCACACTAGCTTCATTAATGCAGGCGTCCTCGTAAACACACCTGCACGATCACATTTACAGGTGCGCATCACGAGCTAACGAGGCGAGCGTGGAAAGAGTCAACGTGTGTGAGTGAGAAGACCCCGAACACGAAGGCTAACAGAAACACGCAGCGTGTCCCCGTGGGCTGCTCAACACCGCCTCGGTGAGAACAAACCCAGCGGCTCTTACCTGGACCCTTTGCGCCGCTGCTCCGGCAGCTCGTCAGTGATCACCTGCGGGCGGTGCAGCCGCCGGAAGCGCAGTCCCGCCGACTCGTTCATGTTGCGCTCGGCTCGGTTCGGTTTGGCTCGGTTGCAAAGCGCGCGGTCACCGTGTGCAGGTTCGGTGCTTGTTGGAGCGAGTGAAGCAGCAGCCTGCTCTGACAGCGAGCAGCGATTCGTCTTCTTCTAAATGTTGTTGGCGGTTGGCAAACAACAAAACGGTGCATTACCGCCACCAGCCGGTGTGGACCGGAACGACCTCTACAAAACCCTCCGTCCTCCCAAACATTTTACCCTCTTTTACAAACTGGAACAAGGCCCGCTAACCTTCAGGTTCTGGGTCAGTGGGTCAGTGGGCTTCTCTCCACCTGATACTGTGAGACATGATCCACGGTTTCCTCACATTTCCGTTATATTTCCCCACCATCAACGGTGTAGTGTTCGAACCAGTATGTCCACATCTTATTCTTGAAATGTGACCATATTGTGATTTCCAAAAAAGAGGACACTTGGCCCAGTCATGAAGAACTTTAATAATGTTTACTTAAAGAAAATGTTAACATATTTAAACCATGCCTTCTCTGTGCGGTTAATGAACGGTGAAATAAAAAATGTCATACAGGCTTTTACAAGCCAACAAGTGCAAAAACAACAACTTAAAAACCTCTGGAATTAAAATAATGGTACAGAAATAAAGCCTCATCTGTATAAGAAAGATGACCAGTCCCGCGACGGTACGAGGTTCGTCTGAAAAGCTGCACTTGCGCTTTGGCTTCTTCTAAACATCATCAGCCGCGCCCTGTCCCGTCTGTCAGGCAGAACAACCACTCGCAAAGCAGCAGCTCGGGATGATGTCACACATATGGGTCCTCTGTAGGCCTATAGAAAAACCCGGACATTTTCATCAGTCTCGAAAATTCCCCCGGACAGAACGTGGAAAGTGGACATGTCCAGGGAAAAGAGGACTGTCGGTCACCCCACTCCTTCCTGTGCTCCTCCTCTCCATCTCTCCTGCATTTCTTGCCTTGCGGCTCTGTTTCTCTGCCTGACAGAAGCTAACAGCCGGGTTACTAATCTTTGGTTTGTGGCTTCCCTCGCAGCTCTATCCGCCATTTCATTGGCTCTGACTCCACACAAACCCACCTGCAAGTCTGTCATCACTGTAAACTGGCCAACGACGAGCTTGAGTCTGAACAGACGACTGATGTAACGGTCCCGTGTCTTGTGTCCATTGAACAGCTGACAGTACTGGGAGCATTACTGCATACTCAGTCCATCCGTGACCCTTTCCCCCACTTTGACTGGCTCTGTTCTCTGATGCATCTGTGTATAAAATACTAATAATACTGATGTAAGCCTGTACTGTATGTGAGTTTAAAGTAAATGCCCTGTCCCTGTAATGTGAAACCTTCTGTGGAGGAAGTATTCATGGAGGTATTGCTGTAACTCTGACCCGATGCTCTCTGAGCCACAGTCCATCCAAAGCTCCTTGTACAGCGCAGGTTACATTTTCACCCAACCACAGCCCAAGAAACTTAAATTTACTCCCTCTAACTCCTGACTCTATAACTGAAGCTTCACTTCCTCTCCAACTCTTTTTCCTGTAAAACATTGTCTTGCTCTTATCAACTGAAAAATTTATACCACCACTCTTCATCTTTCCCAGTCACTCCCAGCAGGAAAAGATGAGTTGCTCCATGGAAGGGAAACCCCATCCCACCCTCTATGTCACATCATTTATCGTTAAGGAAAATAACAAAGTCACTATGCTCCCGTTTTCTACAGGAAACCTCTCCGAGTGAATTCTCACTCGTATTTGTCTTAAAAATCTTTTATCCACATCATGAACATCCGCCCACTGGTTTCCTGAGTTCATGTTCCAAACACACCAGATCCTCTTCTGAAACACTTTGATGTTTATGTACGCGTCCTTTACTTTCCGTGTAGTGCTTTAGTCTTTCATTCATTCGCTCCATTATTTTACAGATGTATAATGATAACAGGTCTGTATTTCCCTGGTTCATGTACGGGCACAACCTCTGCCTCCTTCCAGCTTTGCCACAGTTTCTCCCAAACTCATATAACTCCGACAAACGACCATCATAAAGCCAACCTGAGCTTTTCCTGGTGCTGATTATTTGGATTTCTGGAGAAAAATGAAACTTCCTGTTTTCAATGCAAACTGAAAAAAAAAACAAGATGGGGAAAAATGAAAACATAATAAAAGTCATTAATGAATCCAAACTATCTGAAACTTCCCAAAATCAACAACAGTTTAAGGTATTTACGCATTCACTGAGGCCATTGTATGGTCCATTTTGGCTGCATTTCCATGTTTTAAACATGAAATTTGCTTATTTAAAGGGTGTCTCATGTATCTCTTATGCAGAAATATGTGTTGCCTAGCTGGACAAATGTAGCACAGGTCTACTATTATTGGCCTAATGTATTTTACCAATCATTTCAGCATCCAGATAATCTCTTTCATACTCCCTTAGATGAATTTAGCCTGGTTGTCATGAAATAGGCATTTGAAACAATAACTACCAGTATCTTCGAATGTGTGTGATTTCACTAATCCTACACATTCTTTGCAAGACAACTGGGTGCTTTTATGTAAAGAATGATCTGAGAACACTGAGGCTAATGAAGTAACAAGAGAAACATAGTAAGTAGTCTTTCAGTTTGCATGATCAATTTGGATTATTGTTCATTTTCATTTACCATGTCAACATGTTTTAGAGCAACGTTTTCTGATTTTGAGCTCTTTTAGGTGTAAGTCATCGTCAGTGATTACCCTAAGCCCAAAGC